ATACATATATGAACCTTTTACAGATGGGCATAGGATGCAGTCTCCATGAATGCAAAGGAGACATGACATTGTTTTGCAAAAAGACGTGCATCGATAGCTTGGATAAGGAGAGGTTAATGATAAAGGAAGATCTTGTACACGATATACAAGTCTGCTGGCTGATTGTGTGCTGTTCGCTGATCAAGTGCATCAAGTGCATCGGAACTACCGCCGCTGAAGAGAAGTGATTTTAGCGACCGTGAATTTTATCTAGATTAAACAAGATCGACTACGCCGAGAGAGAGAAACTAATTTACTAGATCGACTGCGCAAGTCCCCCGGAGCAAAGTTGATTTACTGCGAAGGGTCGCTGTGTGCAAGTTCAAGTACTACTCCTAGCTACATTATTACATTTATTCCGCATTCTACGCTGTTGGTTACACTTTTGAAGACCTTGCTGGTTTGCTAACAAAGTCAAAAGGTACGTGAGCATTACGATGTGCTAGAAGTTGTTCCGACTGCCGTGGAGGCAAAGCGACTATATCCTGGGAACAAAGTTTTTGCTCAGACAAATTTAAAATTGTCCCAATCAGGTTTTTAAAGCAGAACAAGGCATGTTTGACGTGATTTGTGCTTTGTTGAGGCTTATACTCCTTTTCTGGACGTGTATAGCGTTAGCTTACGAACGCGCGATTATTTGAGAATAAAATGAAAGACGCACACGATAATTACAAAACAAATATGTACCACAGGGTGATAGAATATATAAAGCACAAAATAAATAAGGGCGCCACAAAAACGGATAATACGAAGTATCCACCACGTGGCTAATACCTGAATATCACCTATTCTGCTGTAGAACCAATTATACGCGACCAGTAAAAATTTGTATGAATCAACGCATGTCTTCTCATTTCTTCCCGCACAAATGTAATATAATATCGTTTAAAATTTCAGTCGCCTGCCGTATGTATGCGTTGACGCTTCAGCGTAGCCTTGGGGCCATACTTATTGCTAGTGTGGAAAGGCCTTTTTTGTATAGGATTCTTCTACTACGTCTTACTCGTTTAGAATAGTAAAAATATTGCAGCTGTTGTCTTAGCTACGATGTTTTACTAAAATTTAACAAGAAAAAGTCTGCCCCATGTCAATATGTCGCGTAAACAAGGTTGTAAACGATGATAAAGATACGACCCCATAAGATATTGATACCAGGTAAAGATTATACAAGAGCATAAATAACGTCAGAGCTTTTAACGAGGTTGGTATTATTTCTCGCGATCATTCATATACTGTAAAGACTTACCGGCTACGATTGCTTTGCAGTACCTAGTGTGTGTGTTTCGTACACAAAAAACGTATTCGGTATAATTAGTGACATCCTTGATACAGAAACTTACAGACAGACGTACACTTGCAAACATTCACCCATAAACGATTACTTGGGTTCGGATAGATACCAATCATTTAACTATGTCGATCCTAGAAGTTTATGTTTATCTGATGCTGCCTTTATATCGGGTGCGTCAACGATTGTTATACATTGCAGTTGCGTGGTGGTACTGCATAGTTTAGGCTAGCTTCCGTATAAACGTGCCCTGAAATGACAAAAAAGTGGTATGTGCAGCGCGTGTCTATGTTCGCATCGAAAGTTGTGCAACCAGCGGCCTCAGCAATCAGCTGCACAGAATTAAAAGGATGATGACCGCGCTACCTCTTCGATACGAGGTAGCTTGCTCGTGTTATGATGTATGCCGCGTTGTAGAACTCAATTATAGTGCAACAAAGCTTTCTTGTCGTCGAGCATCATTGTGTAATTGAAGGTGGTGAATGGATGCTAAATTCGCATCTGAAATCCGTAGGATGCCAAAACGCATCAAAGTGAACGATGTGCGAATACAAACCGTCGCAATCATTGATCGAATCAAGTGTAGTTTAAAATATTTACGTGTCGAGATTGAGAAATAGCTAATTTATTTCTTTATTCTAGTTTAATTATCATAAGATATAATTGGGGTCTTATACAATTTCGCGATTATCGAATGCGCAATATATATTTACTGTCAGGATGACAGCTGCAACACATCGTGATCAACGGCGACATTAGATTTTGACTTTGCCTTGGTTTACATAGTATCGAAATATGTACAAAAAAGATGAGAAAGGTGTATCCGTGTCGACAGCTCGACCGTCTCTGGTATCTTAAACGAACTGCGTTCAATAGAGTACTAATTTGTGATCGTGCGGATATACGTATGCATGGAATATAATAGCTCTTTCTATGACAGAATGTGTGATGATAATGAAGAAAATTGTACTGCGAGCGAGAACTTCTTTCAGTACCAAGCCCATCAATCCTTTGTTTCGAACACGATCCAACCAGTCGCAGTTCTAGGGGATCAATACAGGCGTATGCAATCGAAATGGCGTCACGCAAACTTTCATTTCTTCTGACTTGTAGGGGAACATCATCACTACGCAAACAATGACCAAAATTCGACATAAATATTAAGCATCAACGATCACGCGTACTTTTATCTGGAGTTGGACTCACAATGTCTTCAGCTGACAATCGGATACAGATGCTTACTTACTATCAGCTATCAATCTGACGCCGATGCATCCATACGCCACGTCATGATTGAAATAAATGAGGCCAAGTACGGGACGCATCAATTTGTCGAGCAGCTTTGGCGGGATCCTAGCCGACTTTGCCATAGCACCAGGATGCGCGCAAAGTTTATTTCAGTAGCCTATTCGGGTCGTGCCAGTGTTCTTCTCGCAGGGAATGAATGATATGCAAACGGTGGCAAACAATGTTGGCTCTGTTGCAGAAAGCGATTAGTGATGACAAGGATAGGGACGCGCTGCCGCTGCTACCGTAGTACTTTGCACGGAATGTAACCGGCTGGCCATGAGTGACGCGATGATTCGCTTTGTGGCTGGCTTGTCGTTCGTGGTGTCGTGGACAAGGCTGGACCATACTCATTGGTACGCTGAAGCTGTTTGGTACAGTCCGCCACGGCAAACTCACTTGTGTCGGGTGTCCGACTTTGGACAGAACCTGTGGCGGGCGATGGCGATGTTGGCAAGTGACCGGTGGACAGAGAAGAAGTATTGCCGAGGTCAGGGTAGTGAATGATCTATCGATCGTTGCGTCACTCGTCCACCCTTTCGCGTCATTTGGACGTGCTACTGGGATGTCTTGCACACTGGGACGAAATTGACACAACGATTTCGTTATTTCCTCGGATCCTCGACGAATGCTTTGCGATGATAAGATGCACTATTCTGCTGTACTCTGCTCTGGTGTGCTCTCGTTGGGTGCGTACAAGGGTGATCAGCCTTCCTTTGGATCGGGCTGAAGAATGGTCAGCTGACCAGGCGCTTGGATAAGCACGTGTGTATAAAAATGCTGGGGACCAATCGTGGCTTGATTGTGTGTCCCGGATGAAAAAAAAACTGAGAGAGAGACCACGTTAAAGGGAACTGTAGATGAGACACAAGTGGCTATTGACAAAGACCTCATAATGAGTCGGGCGATCTATTGGTGTTAAAGCGTTTGATTTTCGCGGGCGGCGGGAGCAATGGCTTGTATAGACGGACAGATAATATAGCTGGAGACCGTCTGACGCGGTCCAATTACAAGTAAGCGCAAAGGCAGTCCGCACGTCAAGAGTTTTGCTTGAGAGCTAGTTGGTGTAACGATGGACACAAGTGGAAAGGCTTACAAAAGTATAAAGCGTCTTAGCAAGTCTTTCTTAGATGTACATGACGGTGTAACGTCACAAAAGCACTACGAGATGCACGCACGGAAGTAAACGGACTCGCAACGAGTTGTCGCGCTATCGTTTCGCAGATACAAGACCGGTATGACCACTTCAACGTTTTTCGGTCATCTGATACGTTCCAGCGTCACATTTCATCAGACCGGTGGTCAATACACAACGCAATGACATACGCAACCTTTCGGTCGTCGCTCACTACTGACAGTTTATCATGTAGGCGGAACGTCGCAGGAAGTATTACCAATTTTGTGGCGACTGATCCCGTCTCGTAATTGTCGGGACCGCAGTCGCTTTTGCATAAACTTGGTCCTACGCTAGATCTACCTGCTACTCACCGTGGCAATCGGTCGTCGTACGTTCGTGGAGGGATCTAAGACCACTTGAATTGCACGACTTGGCGAAGACACGAGCTTGAAATAAATGGCTAGTGCTTGATACGAGGTATGATCAACGCCATCCGTGACGTTCGCGCAACATGGTTTTCAAATGCATCAATGCCTCTTGACACCTTCACAAGCTGTTTTGTGATATCCCTGTCGTCGGCACATGCTACGTTGAGCTTGAGCAAGTACAGAGTGGAACTTTCGGAAGTGCACGGAGTACAAACTCATCTCATGGTCACGTTCGTGTCGAGGAGAATTCCCTGATAGATAGTCAACTCTTGAGCCGAATTCGTATCAATTAATAGCACTGTGCTGATTCTGTCCCGAATGCCGCGAACGGGTCTAGACCGGGATTGGAAGCCACAACAGTTTTCGAACAACGAGTTAAAGCATATCAAAAGGTGAGACAGCGGGTAGGCTCCCGATGATATCGAGTAGAGTGCCAATGAAGTCGATCCGTCGTGCAGTATAGAAGAGTACCGTCATGGACTGGTCTGCTTGAAATTGCAGGATCTTGTTGCCAACGTTTTCATGAGCGAGTGTACCTTGCAAACAAGTTTACGTTTTACCTTTGAAGATATGTTTTAGCGTTTTCCCTTGACGTTGGTACGAGTCCTTACTCTTAAATTCGTAATTTAAGAATCCGTGTGCAACAAACCACCTCTTCACCTACGGAAAGATAGACAAATAATTTGCACACCGTACGCAGATATGGTTCTTAAACCTACTCATGGTTGTGAAAGAGTTGCCATTGTCGATTTAAGATTACGATTATAATAAACGATGCAAGCAGTATAGTTAACGGATGCTGTGACAAATGCTGTCACCGTTATCGCTTGGTTTGCTGTTTCTACGGCACACGTGGTAGCGCACTGTCCCGATTGCGATTCTTGTAGTAGCTTACCACATGCTCTGGTGGGGCACCAGAATGCTTCACAGGCAAGCAGAAAGTCGAAAATATCGGGTGGCACAACACTTGCTTGAGAGTAGGGCGCTTCAGGGGATCAAAGTCAACCAACGCTTTCAGCACCTCCATTGCACCTGGAATTTCTTGTAGTCCTTCGCGGCACTGTCGAATCGCATTGCTTGAACCAGTGGAGATTGAGAACAATGACTTGTCCTTGTCGAACTGCAACTTGGACAGTAGTTGAGCCTCTTTTTCACCTTTCGTTCGTCTGGATTGTCGCTTGAAAAGACTCGGCGAACTCCCGTCTGGTCGCAAATGCTGTAACAGCACTTGCCAGACCTTAACGGATCCGTTACATTTACTTGGGTTACTGTCCGGTAGCCCAAACAGCACAATGTAGCGGTACAAGGTGTGGCAAAGCGTATGTTCGTCGTCGTCGTCGAGAGCTACGCTCTTGATCACAGAAAATCCAGAATTCTTCCGTGGACTCTAATTACACATACGGCAAAAATGCATATCATGTCGTTAGTCCGGGCTGTCAATACAAATACGGCGACACGTACCATCCAAATTGAGTTTAAGTCCTTCAAAAGATTGGCAGGACAATGTACATCCTCCAAAATCTTTTCGTACGGTGGACTAACATCATGTACGTATAGCAGCAACAACGTCAGAGCACTAATAATAACTTTAATCACGCCAAACGTATTGCGTACCTTCCAGCAAACAGTTGAAGCATGCATAGACCCAAGCAGAATGTATCTGCTGCATAGGACTGCTCAGCTTCGTCACCTTCTAGTAGATATTCGATCGGTGCGTTTTCGAGTGTTGTAAACTGTTCAATTGTGACAGGCTTTCCCAAATGTTCCGGGTTTGAGTCTGCAGTACCATAGTCCGCGAGCTTGACCCAGTACGAGAATGATGCGGGAATTTGAAGAACAAAGCGTTTATCCTCAAACAGATAGTGTAGTACCACGTCAGGTTTCGGGTCTTTGTGGCAAATCGTGCACTTTATGCCCTTCAGCAAGAAGTTAAGTAGCTGGGTCAAATGATAAAGCCACGTCAGTTCACTCAGAGATGCACTTTAGTGAATAATTTGAAAGAGCAAACCTTGATATCGCAGTGCCGAATGTGAAATCTTTCTTGGGCACAGTATAAACTATATACCATTTGAAAAAAATAAGGAGCAGCCACGGTTGCAACACTCATTGATTTGTCCCAATGCATTGCGATGAAGCTTTCCAGGTCGCCACCGTCGCACAGTTCCATACGAATGTATTGAAACAATCGCTCATTTTCTTCGCTTAGAGAAACTCGTAGTCCTTCCTTGCCATCCTCAGCACCGAGGTCGGCATACTCGTCCACAAACAACCCAACTGGCTTGCGGTGCAACCTGCTTCCCCATAAATTAGGGCGGGGTGGCACGTGAGAAAGGAAAGCATCGTACACTCGAAGAAAATTTGGACAAATGCCCTTCCTCAGTCGCGTGTGATAGCAACAAAGAGTGAAACACTTCTTGACGAATGACACCCTACGAAACAACAACCATAACCAAAGCTTGTGAGTGAACGCAAGTGTACAACCATTCACCGATTACTTAAGACATTATCACCTGCATGCCGATCTTTTCAAGCGCTTTAATATCCATAACGCTTATGGCCTCCAGTCTGTTTTGCTCCATTGAATAAACCTTGAAAACCTCCTTGTAAGCACCACCCGCGAGGTAATTGCCACGCGGGTAGTATCTGTAGAGGCAGTTCGCCGAATAAAAATTCAATTTCCTGCATTATTCGAGCAAAACAAAAATCAGAGGAATACCCATTGCCCATCGTGACCTTAAATAAAACAATTGAGTGCGAACGTACATGGAATAGTCGGCATTCATCAATGCGTATAACCTAGTTGCAGAAATACGTACAACTATACTTAGCGCCGATATTAAAGATGCAACATTCTCAAAACCAAACATACCTTATCGATACTTGACGAAGCACTTCGTTAAACGGCTTCATTTCAATCCACCCTGATTGAAGGATAAGACATAGCACACGTTCTCCATGCACAGTTTTGTTCTTTGACGACCTGGTTGTGCCTGGAAAATCTCGGGACCTGGTTGATGTTAGCGTCGTCTTAGTATCCAGATCATGATCCCCAATCCATCCATCGTTCATTTGAAAGCGAACATCGCGTGATGATTCGAGCGCCATATCACATGAATGCGTATTCGAAGCCCTTTCTTCTAAAATTCTTGTATCGGATACAAGGTATTGGCACCCTGTTGGTTGCAATGTCACTTGTATTTCCTCAGCCCCATCATCTGGCATGCGCTGTAGAAACGGCAGCGTCGCGGTTGCATCCATCATTTGACGCTGACGCCAGTTGTAGTGAAGAATGCATCGCTTCTCCGCTCGTTCAGTAGCTTCTAACATCCAGGGCACCTCTTCTTGCATCGTGAAGCGCAAGAAAGATGCTCGAATGTCTTGAAAGGGTGCAGACTGTTGATTGAGATAAATACGCGCTAAAAGTGACGCTGCTGGGTGCGCATGTTGACCAACATCGCGGAACCACGCCAGAATGTTTACGTGACGATACAGCGTCAGTAAGTTGTACTTTGCGTTGCCAGATAAGACGTCTTCCTCTTGCGCATACTCATCCCACGCGACACAAACATTTTTCCACTCCCGCCAAGCGCGATCTTCATCCTTCGCCTTCCTTGCACGCTTATTGCTTGATCTCGAGGACGATGCAGTATGCAGCTGATTATGTGTCCCTCCAATCATCAATAGAGTGCTGATTTCGTCACCTTGATCGCTTTCATCTAGTTCATCATCGCCGTCACCTTCGAACTCGTTATCGGCACCAGCGAAATCCCCGCTGTTACACTTAGCGATCAACTCGAAAGCGACACGATGTTCTTGACGCAAAGCTTCCTGAGCACGACATAAAGCATTCGTATCCGTGACAATGTCGCCAACCTTAGACTTGATCCGGGGATCCAGTAGCATGGCTTTGATCTCGTCGTCGACAGTTGACGGAGTTGTAGGACTTGGAAAAAATTGTACGAACAGCTCACGAAGACTCATAAGGATTTGTTGGCCATTCTGAGTAAACTCGTCGATATGCTTAGCCTTTCGTCGCACGATGTTGCCGATCGGCGATGACCCGATTGTGAACCCATCCAAGTGGTAGACCTTGAAGCTGGAAGCATTGATCGTGATAACCAGAAGTCGTCGAAACAGCATAGCGAACGATGCTGTCACCGTACTCGTCCTGAGAGCAGCACGCTTCTCAAGATGAAAATGTCCAAGATGGTTCAGTATCGCTTCAACCTCTGCTGCAGTGTGCCAATCCTCCATGGTCAGGCTCGTCCATGCTAGATTCGTCGCATTTGATCTTGCGGAGGATTGGAAAAAAGACCAATAGAGAGGAAACCGAGCACAACTTCCCGTAAGCAGAGTAGATATCGCACCGATTGAGGTGGAGGTGGCTGTCATTTTTTCCATCAACACAGCCGTAAAAAGTGACCTATATGTGCCATAGGTGTCATCAGTTCCTTTCAAATCAGAAGATCGGTCTGGACTCTTAAAGTGCCGCGCCAGCTCTTGGAGTAGTCGTAGGATGCAACGAACCTTCGTCTCACCACCAGATAAGCTGTCCGATCCAACACCCATAGCGTGGTGTACGCAGTAGCGCAACTTTGACGTCAGAAGATCATCTTCTTTCTCAATACACGACCCATATCCTGCATCGGCATGGAATCTTGGAGACGCAGCGTATTCACCAGTGAATGCTTCAAATCGTGTGTAATCAGAAATCGAATGGATGTCGTATGCCTCTGACAGGGTATGATCCACCAGTTGACGCGATTGAAAATTGAACGTGGACAACACCTCCTTCGCGGTAAGCACTAAGTCCACTTTGCGCCACTTGGAGTCAATCAACCCAATTGCAACACTGAAAAACGCTCTTTCCTCATCCAAACGCGTTGCTTTGTTCTCCCCATCAAGCTCGACTGTGTTGATTGTCATCGGTTGAAGTGCACGGTAAAGCGACAAGAATGGCAGCCCCATTGATGCCCGTGACTCTACAGCCAGATATGAACGCAAGGAATGACCAAATTTTGCGTATTCACTTTGCAGATGGCTGGCGCAGTCCAGTTTCGATAGCATGACCGAATCGACAGGGAGTGCACGACTCAGCAGTTGCTGTATAGCTTGATCAAACAGCGCTGAAACGGGAACGCCCGATGACAAAAGCCAATGGACGACGGCATTGGAGTTTCTTGCTGCATCTCGGATGGCTGGTGTCTTTGCGTCATTAACGTGTTCGGTACCGCCAATTACTTTGCGGCGGGCTCTCTTCACCAGAGCCTTTTCGCTGGCGCTCTTTCTCGTGTTTAGTCGCGGTCGTTTGTCACTTTTCGGTGTTGTAGTCGTTTGCTTGGTTTTCTTTGTTGCTGTCATCGCTCCAAATTGATTCTGGTCACGGATATATGTCGGAACTTGACTAACAGAGAATCAATCGATATCAGGTGGCATATCAGGTAGGCGGATCAGAATGCGCAACCTGGCGGGATGTGGATACTGCATGTGAAAGGAAATAAGAATGATATTTCGACGGTTTCTTTTTCTATTATTGCTGCAATACTGGCGATAATGCATAGGGAGCGATGTCGCCAGATTCTTCCGTAAACTGGCGCGTCTTAAGTGACATCCATGATTGTAAACTGACTGATATATAGGTGCACAGGAAAAGGCATTGCACCGGATTTTGTCCTGCAGATCTTCGGGTAATCCAATCGTTTAGTTGTTGCAGCTATAGCGATGTGCTTGAGGCAGGCTGGTGAAGCTTTTATTGCTCGGTTTGTAGCGTACTAAGTCAAGCCGTCAGCTGCTATATGAAACAACACACAATTCTCTCTTTAGCGCAGTTTTCTCGATAAAAATCGATTGCCATATGATGTTATTGCATCGTATACTTGTACGTTGCCCTACTGTGATGTTAGAAGATGTGTTTCTAACAAAGAAACGTTCCTTTGCCTTACTAACTTTGCTGCGAAAGAAGTTTCAATCAGAATAATTCCCTTTCGTTTGGTAAGGCGCAAAAGAGAGATCATTCGTGGGCAAGGCGCTATCATACAACTACAGAGGCAAGACAATCTTGGTACGCAGACGCCACAACGAGGAGATCAATCGTACCCCAGAGTAAAGGGTTCTGTTTGTACGGGGGTGTGAGTCGTTTTTTTTCAAAAAATAGAACATGATTCAGTTTTTTTCGAAGAAAAAGAGTAGGAGTAAGGCTTCTACGATGGGCATAGAAGAGACTTCATGACGGATCACAGATGCACCATATTGTTGCAAACTAGCACGTGCAGTACCTTCACCCCCTTCTACTCATCTTCGGCATCATCAACTACCGGCTTCACTTTGGTCAAAAACAGACTACATATTGCAAGCCGCCCACCTCTGCAAGTTGCGCCGCGTCGTCTCAGGCGTTTGAAATGGACCGTCCACGCCGGCATGACTCTGTGGGGATGTCAACTTCCCCGGACACGTCGGCACCTTCATTCGGATGGTGATTAGCTTATGACATGTAGGTATTTCATATTTTCGAAAATTATTTCGTGACGACTTCGTATTCTTGTTTAGCCTGTACGACATCACCGACACAAGTTGTAATAATGCACCTTACACTTACACGAAGTGTAGTGTACCAATCCACACTCAAAGCAGCGCACACGGGTGCCTGAAGACTTCATGTGAACAATTGTGTAGGAGAAGGTGCCAACAAATAAATGTAACGCGTAGTCATGTGAAAAAGAGAACCATCTTGCTACAATTTTTCAATTGCTTATAAAATATGTTGAAAGGCATCTATGATCAAGTCCACCTACCAAACACGCTTTTTACTACTTGTTTGTTCATATATTATTTGCATACCTCGTTTCTATGGTCATAGCCTTGGATGCTACAATGGCATACGTTAGCCGATACGCATCGTGTTGTCAGTTGCTACCGGGCGTTGCCTATAAAATAGTAATGGTGCCACAATACTGTTCGCCATATCATTATTATTATGCGTTATGTGAAAGTGATGGTTCTAGTGAAAAACAAATCATTTTTGTCGACTTCAATTTCATGCTACAAAATCTTACAATATAACTAGCAAATATCCATAGACAGCCACAGTAGTGAACAATATTAACGTTGAGTGACAACGCAGCAAAAAATATCACCCGTGCGTTCACTACAACCCGTATAACATTAAC